TACATCATTAGAAGAATGGCATCTATGCTAATATTAGGCTGTTTCTCTCTTATTCCGAGGTCACCGTAGCCACCAGATCCAGTCTGTATCCAGATCAGATGGTCACTGCAGTCACCCAGATCCAGTACGTATTCAGACCAGATGGTGGATCAGCACCTAGAAAGGACCTTTACAGCCCTGAAAGGCAGCGGAGACCAGGACAACTAGATGAGCCTCAGATACAGATCCCCTGTAAAGACCTTGTCTCAGACGACCACCGGGACCAGACCACAGGAACCAGATGAGTCCTCTGCACAATGTGACTTTGCTGCAGCCTGAAATTGAACTGCTGGTTTTGTCTGGCCAGAGGAGAAATGGCCCCCCGACTGAGCCTGGTTTCTCCCAAGGTTTTTTCTCCATTCTGTCACCGATGGAGTTTTGGTTCCTTGCCGCTGTCGCCTCTGGCTTGCTTTGTCGGGAACACTTAATTTCCAGCTATATCGTTGACTTGATTGCAAAGATACTATTTAAACTGAATTGAGCTAGATGATGACATCACTGAATTCAATGATGAACTGACGCAAGTTCGTGTCACAGACGGGCTATGACTGGGACCAGTGGCTGCCGTACTTATTGTTTGCCTATAGAGAGATCCCACAGGCTTCCACAGAATATGCTCCATTCGAGCTGCTCTACGGCCGCCAGGTTCGGGGGCCATTGAATGTCCTGAAAAAGGCGTGGGAGGGGGACAACCCATGAGAGCAAACCAGAATTGTATCCTATGTTCTGAAAATGAGGGAGAAGATGGATGCTATGTCAGAACTAGTACATGACAACATGACCAGGGCCCAACAGCAGCAGAAAACATGGTATGACAAGTCTTCAAGGAAAAGGACACTTGCACCAGGTCAGAAGGTGTTGCTTCTCCTGCCGACTTCAGACAATGGCCTGCTTGCAAGTTGGCAAGGGCTATATGAAGTCCTGACGAAGGTGGGAGAAACCAATTATGAGCTCAGCCTTCCAGATCGTCGCAAAAAGACTCAAGTGTTCCATGTTAACTTGCTCAGACCGTGGCTGGACAGGCAGTGTTCTGTGGCTGAGCAGTTATGGGCACGGTCAATAGAGGACGAGGAGGAGGTTAGCGAGCAATATTTTCCAACCAACCAAGGCCCTAACACCTTACCCAACTTGAACCATCTTTCCTTGGAGCAGAAAGAGCAGATTGAAGCTGAGATACCAGGAGGCATCTTCAGTGACAGGCCTGGGAGGACTGATGTGACTCAGCATGATATTCGTCTTCTGGCGCAAGGACCCATCCGGCAGACCTTCTGCAGAGTACCAGCATGACTTGTCCCAGACCTGAAAAGGGAAATTCAGGCCATGTTGGATCTGCAGGTAATTGAACCATCAAAGAGTGAGGGGTGCAGCCCGGTCGTCCTTGTACCGAAGAAGGATGGAACTTTAAGATTCTGTGTGGACTTTTCAAAATGAAATGCCATCTCAGCCTTTGACCCATGTCCCATGCTAGGGTCGATGAATTGGTGGAATGTCTGGGGAAGGCCAAGTACCTGAGCATGTTAGACCTGTGTGAAGGTTACTGGCAGGTACCACTGACTGATGCGGCTAAAGAACTGACTGCTGTCCAGGCCCCATTAGGGCTATATCATTTTAAGGTTATGCCGTTTGGACTGCACGGAGCTGCAGCCACTTTTCAGTGGTTGATGGATCACGTGATTTCCGGGACTGTGGACTTTGCTGCTGCCTATATAGACGATGTGGTGATTTACAGTGCATCCTGGAAGGAACATCTGCATCACTTAGCAGAGGTGTTTCGAAGGATAGAAAATGCAGAATTGGTGGTCAATGCCAAAAAGTGTAACCTGGCGAAACCTTAAGTTTCCTACCTGGGATATGTGCTAGGAGGAGGTGTCATAAAACCACAAGTTGACAAAGTTGATGCAGTGCGCTCTTGTCCTCTACCAACAACAAAAAAAGAGGGTGAAATGACGATGAGATGCAGTATTTACATCGTCACCTTGTCTGTGTGTTATGTCAGTTAGTACATGATTTACATTTATTATTTCCACCCTCAGACAATAAGTTTATATTTAAAAAAGTTTAATTGTCTTTAGCATGCGTCATGTTGTTTTGGTAAGATGACATTAACTGGGGAATGAAGACGAACATCACAACACGCTTCATTTACCAGTTCGGTTTTGATTAAATAAGGACATAACACATTTGTTTCGTTACTATACCTATAAATTTTTCACTCTTTGTTATATTGCAGCCATTTGCTAAAATCATTTAAGTTAATTTTTTTTCCTCATTAATGTACACACTGCATCCCATATTGACAGAAAAACACAGAATTGTTGACATTTTTGCAGATTTATTAAAAAAGAAAAACTGAAATATCACATGGTCCTAAGTATTCAGACCCTTTGCTGTGACACTCATATATTTAACTCCGGTGCTGTCCATTTCTTCTGATCATCCTTGAGATGGTTCTACACCTTCATTTGAGTCCAGCTGTGTTTAATTATACTGATTGGACTTGATTAGGAAAGCCACACACCTGTCTATATAAGACCTTACAGCTCACAGTGCATGTCAGAGCAAATGAGAATCATGAGGTCAAAGGAACTGCCTGAAGAGCTCAGAGACAGAATTGTGGCAAGGCACAGATCTGGCCAAGGTTACAAAAAATTTCTGCTGCACTTAAGGTTCCTAAGAGCACAGTGGCCTCCATAATCTTTAAATGGAAGACGTTTGGGATCACCAGAATCCTTCCTAGAGCTGGCCATCCGGCCAAACTACTTAAATGATTTTAGCAAATGGCTGCAATATAACAAAGAGTGAAAAATTTAAGGGGGTCTGAATACTTTAAAAAAAAATTTAAGGGGGTCTGAATACCGTACCCACTGTGTGTGTGTATATATATATATATATATATAAATAATAAATTTTATATTTTTCCTCTCTTCTTTCTTTATGCTATCTGGCTACAGAGTTGGTTTAGTCCAGTTCCTATTCTGGCGGGAGTTTAGAGTATTTAAGTCAGTCCTTCTCAGCCTTTTGGGGAGAGAAGAGGGGTCAGTGAGTTAGGCTGAATGTTACGTTTATGCTGTTTAAGCAAATTTACTTTGTTCATTGTACGATAGAACAAGTGTACGCTGTGTAAAGTGTTAGTAAGGTGTTTTTTTTTTTTTCCCCTTATTTGTACTGTTTTTTTTTGAAGATATCACCCCTATCTTTATGCTATCTGGCTACAGAGTTGGTTTAGTCCAGTTCCTATTCTGGCGGGAGTTTAGAGTATTTAAGTCAGTCCTTCTCAGCCTTTTGGGGAGAGAAGAGGGGTCAGTGAGTTAGGCTGAATGTTACGTTTATGCTGTTTAAGCAAATTTACTTTGTTCATTGTACGATAGAACAAGTGTACGCTGTGTAAAGTGTTAGTAAGGTGTTTTTTTTTTTTTCCCCTTAATTGTACTCTCTTATTTTGTAGATATCACCCCCAAATCTTGCTACTTGTACTAATAAAAAAACACTCTTTGGATTATCCTGGTTTACGCCTATGCCTTCCTATCACCTCACTTGGCCCTAACGGCATACACTACGACAACACTAACCGCAATTATTATATGTTGCAATCAAACTTGTAGCAAAATTTGGTAGTTCTGTATGTTGTTTCAGGGTTGGGATCATCTCTTTTCAGGTGTTCTGGATCCAGACTGAAGCTGGTGTAAATCCTAGTTGTGGCAGAAACAGAGAAACAAATAGAGACATAATTAGCATAGCTGCTGTTCCAACCAAGCAAATTTTTTTGTTTAACCCAAGCTAAAGAATAATAATAATAATAATGTGCATTTGATCAGATATAACTGCAGTAGCGTGATCAAACAGACGATGAACACTATTAACAGCAATTAATATATGATGCAATCAAACTTGTAGCAAAATTTGGTAGTTCTGTATGTTGTTTCAGGGTTGGGATCATCTCTTTTCAGGTGTTCTGGATCCAGACTGAAGCTGGTGTAAATCCTAGTTGTGGCAGAAACAGAGAAACAAATAGAGACATAATTAGCATAGCTGCTGTTCCAACCAAGCAAATTTTTTTGTTTAACCCAAGCTAAAGAATAATAATAATAATAATGTGCATTTGATCAGATATAACTGCAGTACAAGATTATGAGATGCATTATTTGAATGCTTGGTCAAAGAGATGTGTCTTTAATCTAGATTTAAACAGAGCGTGGCTGAACCCCGAACGTTATCAGGAAGGCTATTCCAGAGTTTGGGAGCCAAATGCGAAAAAGTTCTACCTCCTTTAGTGGACTTTGCTATCCTAGGTACTACCAAAAGTCCAGAGTTTTGTGACCTTAGGGAGCGGGATGGATTGTAGCATGGTAGAAGACTAGTTAGGTACGCAGGAGAGAACCCATTAAGGGCCTTATAGGTAAGTAATAATATTTTGTAATTGATACGGAACTTAATAGGTAGCCAGTGCAGAGACTGTAAAATTGGGGTAATATGATCATATTTTCTTGACCTGGTAAGGACTCTAGCCGCTGCATTTTGGACTACCTGTAGCTTGTTTACTGACGATGCAGGACAACCACCTAGCAGTGCATTACAATAGTCCAGTCTAGAGGTAATGAATGCATGAACTAGCTTTTCTGCATCAGAAACAGGTAACATGTTTCATAGCTTGGCAATGTTTCTAAGATGGAAGAATGCAGTTTTTTTGTAACATGGGAAATAGGATTTTCAAAAGACAAGTTGCTGTCTAATATAACACCCAGATTTTTGACTGTAGAGGAAGTAACAGTACATCCGTCTAGATGCTATTTGTAATCCAATAGATTCCGTGTACTGTTTTTTTAAATTAAAAATTTATTAAATGTTCCATTCAAATGTAGAGCGATTTCAGTATAGCTGTTCCATAATGTCTTTATTTTTAAATGTAAAAATATTTTCAAATGTTATATTATTTATATTTATAAGTAGTTTGGCATAATTCTTTTATTATTTCCTGTTCAAAGGCTTGTGGTTGGTAAGATATATCATATAAATTTAAAATATTATACTATGATTTTAATATATTTTAAAATGTAGTTTATTCCTGTGACGTCAAAGCTGAATTTTCAGCAGCCATTATTAAAATCTTCAGTGTCACATGATCCTTCAAATTTCCTTCTAATAGAGTGCAAATAAAGCCACTAGAAGGCAAGCCTGCAACCTTTAGACAAAAAAACATAATGGCTAATGTTAACATTTCCGCTTTGGCAGTACATGGGAAAAGAGACCAGAGGCCGTTTTTTTTTTTTCTTTGAATGATGTCAATGGAGGAGAGACTTCACTATGCTGAATAAACAACTTTTGTGAGGAAACAGCTTATCATTTAATGAATCGACAGCCCATCGGCTAATCTCCAACAAGTTTTATACTAAACCAATGGTTCTCAAACCTGTCCTGGAGTACCCCCAGCCCTGCACATTTTGTATGTCTCCCTCATCTATCACACCTGATTCAACTCATCAGCTCATTAGTGGAGACTGCAAGAGCTGAAGTGGGTGTGTCAGATATAGGGAGACATGCAAAATGTGCAGTACTGGGGGTACTTCATGGAGAGGTTTGAGAACCACTGTCCTAAACAATACTTTGGGGTTGAACTATTTTTAGAGTTTACACTCTAAAAAAATGCTGTTTTATAAGATAAGTCACTGACTTTTTGCGACAGGTGGGATATAACTTACGGCACTTCTCATTTATTCCTTTGGTATCCATAAACGGCATACCAATGGCACAAGACTGAAATTCAATGACGTTAAGGCTGTAATGTGATTGGTTATTAAGGCACACATGATCCAAGTTGACCGTTACACTTTCTCCAATAGTAAGTAATACAGACCCTCTTATCTCCCAATAGTAAGACAATCTCTGGTGCAACAGTCGGGTTCCAGAAGTAAACATTTATGTTTGAACAATAACTGATAAACCTTTAAAGGGGACATCAGAATGCAAAATTCTCTTTTACATGGTGTTTTAATTTAACCCTTATGTGGTGTTCATATTTTTGTTATTCAGGCAGTGTTCGTGAGTCTGGTGGACCCACTGCATTTTTGTTTTTTTAATTCAACACAATCAAAATTTTATGTTAAAATACTCAACAGATGTTTACTTCATCCCAATTACAAGCAATATGAACAGCATATATGGTTAATATCTGCCCTTTACCTTTGTTACATCATCACATTTATGAATTAAAGTGCTACAACCTTGTGCGGGAATGGCAGGGGCAGAGACACAAAACTCACTCTTGCACTCACACTCTCACAGACTCTCTCTTTAGCACACACACACACACACACACACACACACACACACACACACACACACACACACACACACACACACACACACACACACACACACACTCACTCATAGCAGGCCCAGAAAGGAGGAGGACAGAATGAAGGTACACAGGACCTACAAATTCCACACTTTTATTAGCCCCGAACATCCTATATGTAATATAAATGTGTAGGGGGTGTACAGTTTGTGGTCATTGAAAAATGGTTCTGATATATGTTCTTCACAGAAAATGAGCAAAGGCCAATGAGTCTGAGTTTGATCAAAAATGTTTTGATAAAAAATGAAAATGGGTCCCACAGACCTGAACACCATACAAGGGTTAAATGTGTGTTAGCAGTGTGTACACAACCACCCTATAATGATACAAATCCATCCAGTGCTTTTTTTTTTAAATCCCCACAAATCATAAGCACTTTCTCAGATCAAGCCTTTCACAGATTCTTGGCAAAGTGACGTCACTTTGCACAGGCCCCTCCCACAACTGTTGACGGACAATGCCGTTTTAGCAAAGACCCGCCCC